ATTAAATCTTATCTTATATTTTAAATCTTATCTTATATATTAAATCTTACATAAGAAAAAATGTAAAAATATTAACCTCTGCTTCAATGTACAGTTTCCAGAATCTGCCAGAACTGGGGAACTGGGCAACAAGGCGTTCATAGGTCTTCCGTGCTTTGTCTATAGGCTGATTCTAAAAATCGAAAATCAAGACAGCATTTACAATATTATGATTTATGTAAATGAATATGCTGATTTTACTCCAGAACCAAATAGTGTGAGTGGACCATAGATAAGGAAATGTAATCCTATGTCACTAAACCTGTGCCTCTCGAATGAGAATGCTCCAAGCGTCAAGGTCATATGGATTTTCTTCTAGTTTCTTTTCAGCTTTCTTCACTTTTTCTGGGACATATTCGGCAGCCTAGAAAAATTAAAAAGGACGACATAAGAGATCACAAGCAAAGTTTGGAAAGTTCTGTCTCAGCTACAAATTCAAGCTAACGACAACATTCTGACAACATAACATTCCAGATCTCAGTTTTCATGCTGGAGTTACTAAATTCTAGTTTTATCTGAAAAACAAGTTGTCCCGTAAGACAATACTCTTACCACAACAAGTTCTATATATTTGGTGATCCAGCAAAAAAGATAGACTAAACTGACTAAATGTTTCTAAAACACTAGAACAAATTTGAGTTTGCCAGAAAATTTACTGCACTATGAATTTTAAGCAGCTGACCTGAAACTTTTAAGATGCAAAAAGTAAATTCAGACCAATTTTTCTTTTACAGACCTCAGCCAAACCCAGATTACTGCGCGGGTCATTCTATACATGCAGGACAGTAAGTATTTCATATCACAAATTACAGACTAACAAGAACACTAGGAGATGACAAGTTCTATCAGCAACATATACGTTATCCAAGCACAATTAGTTAACTTCATAATTCCGCAATCAGTGTATTCTTACAGTTGCCTTCCTGTAGCTTTGTCACTAAGTACCTTAAACTGCCTTTTTATTTTTTTTTTTTTTTTACACTCAGACATTCATACTGGAGTTTAAAAGCTTTTTTGATACTAAAAGCTTTGCCAAACTGAATGTGAAATTGTTAACATAGTCACTGTTACAGTATAGGTTCAAGTGTTCTTTTAAAGATTCATGGAAATATCTTAATCATCTTCAGAAATTTCTTCTAGATTTAGGTTAGCACAAAGCAGATGAAAAAAAATTACCATCTGATGAAATACATACAGACAAGCCTTAAAATACATGCTTGTTACAACCCTAAATGGTATTGTTTTTTATTAAGCATTAAATACTGTTCTGACCTGTACTCCAAACAGCTTATTTACTAACTTTCCAAACTTGACTCATTTTCAGGCAGATGTTAGTAGTTTCAAATCACACTATCAAGTAAATTCTTGCCTTTGTGAGATCTAACGATAATAACCTGTAAATTATTACTACAAGACCTTTCTTGTGAAATTTAACAAGTTAGCTACATAATTACTGCAGGAATATACTATTCTGTATTGTATAGCACAGTGTGACTGACTTACTGTAAGAAAATTCTTAAAAAACCTCTGTAAATTGCTAAAAGATTATTTCTGCAAAATAATTTTAATTATTAATATTGGATCCAGGTTAATACACAGCTCTCAAGATGAAAAAGACAGAAACCAGAACAGGGAGAACTCATACTCTATCAAAGGTGCATCACACACTTATACAGGGAAAGGAGAAGGTAACTAGACACTACAGAGGTATTACTTCTTAAAAAAAAAAAGAAAAAGCTGGGGCTAGCAAATGCAGTAAAAGCCTTAGTCACTTAGGAACATCAACTTTATTTTCAGGCATGCCCTGTCCCTTTGCTTTTGCCAACCTCTGCAAACGCACTACTATACAACAGTTGCTTATGTTGTACATTACAATTCTACCTGATCATTTTAAAAAGCCACCATATTTTTGAATATTTTTCTGCACTACCAGTTTTTATGTCAGTCCTCCTATCAGAATATAATTCAAGGCATATCCCTTAAAAGGTTTTAAATTAAATTTACTTATAAAATGGATAAATTATAAAAAATGTTGCAGAACTGTTAAACTGACATGTAATAGCAGCCATGCATAAAAGGGGAAAAGGAAAAAAATCAGTACGAGGGGCTTTTCTAGGAGTTTTAAGATCACTACTCTTTTCAATTCGGTTTTCAAGTCATTCTTAACATTAACTGCTCAGTGCAAAGCAGTGTAGCTTGGAAGGCAAGTAGCAAGTCCCACAGCAAACTAAATTATAAAATTTATTGAATTTAAAAAATCAAATTAAAAATAGCTCAAAGCTGTCAGTTCAAAAGTAGTATAATTTCAATATGAAAAGTTTTACATCCCTAAATCCATCAAAATTCTGACTCTGTAATAACGCGTGTTATAGTTCAACTGATAAGGGCTTAAGACGCAAAACACAGTATGAAACAAACAAGTGGTTTTATTTCTTCCAAAAGGACATGCATAAACATATTTCAGCTTACAGAAGACAGCACTGAAGCTGAAATTTCCAAAGTTTAAAGACTATTTATACAAGTGATCTCTATATATGACCAAAAGTTGAAATGTTCTTTATTCAATAAAGCACTAATTCAAATTTGCCCACGCCAGCGGTAAGCATTGCTTCTCATCATATTCCATCTCACTCGAAATCTACTTGTCTCAAATATTCAATCAAGCATATATTATTCTGCATTCAATTAGACAGAAATGTCAGCTGCAACAAAAAACCCCACCCTATATAAAACAACTGAAGCATTTGTGGAAGCACAAGGTCCTGCAATTTAAGTAGTGACTTTCAAACAGGAAAAAGTATAACGGACCACTAAAGCACACCTCAACTATTTCAGTAGTAGTTCAGTTGTATTATCTCAAAGCTTTCCATGTGACACACAAAACTCAGCTGACACTGGAATGAAACAGTTAAGGCTTCCAGGAATTTAATTTCACCTATGCAACTATAGGGCAATAAGCTCAGAAAGGCTGAAATAAGTTAAGCTGGTGAGAAAATAAATGCTGATAGATGCATAATCATTGAAACCCTACATTAATTTTGTATATTTGATACAGGATTCCTCATCTGTGTAAAACGTGTAGTGAAATGTTCATTCTTTTGTTGGAGAAAAAAAAAGATACTAATTTCCTAAATTAGCAAATACTCACTTAACAGCAGGAGATAAAAGTTCTCCATGCAGCTACGTAAGACAAAAATTACAGCAGCTCTACAGAATTGAAAATATGATTAGGGTTTTAAACTGGGCTGCCTGGAATTGCTTGTACCTTGTGTCACAGGTAAGAAAACACCTAACTTCTTAAGGCCAGTGAGCACTCTTTCTGCTGTCCCTATCCATCTCCAGGATGGATTAAAAGCCATAAAAGCCACATTTCAGAGAGGCAAACTCCACTGCAGGCAAACTAGTGTCCTGGTTATATCTGAGCCAGAACAAGGCCTCATTACCTTGCACCTTCACAAATAATAATTCCTAGTATATATACTGGAGAAATCAACACTTAGGATTTCCAGTCTGGACTGTTTTGCCAGAAGTAGGAACATAAGCAAAGATGCATGCAGTTACACACCAAACCCGTGAGGACATCTTTTGCAACCACGTGGTGAAAGGGAACAAAGAGCTTGACTTTCAACCTAGCTTAACTACAGGCAGAAAGACATTTGATCGCAGTTTTGAAAACTGCATGTTAACTACACTGTGCTTAGATCTGCTGTTATCACAGTTCAAGGGTATGTGGCTTTTGATTACTATATTTTTAATTGTACTGCCTACACAACAGCCAATAGCCAACATGGTGCATACTTAATTCTTTGGTGTTTGTCCACTGCCATGACCTTGTCCCTAGACAAGCATTTTCAGTCCCTCCCTCTGGTTAACAGAGGCACCTGAGTTTACCTCATCCTGTAACAAGACAGTTCAGGTAGTTAAATGAGCAGAAAAATAATCCTACTAGAAAAGTGATTAACTTTACAGAGATTCAATGCCTTGATTTCAGGATCAGATGTGATGCAGAATAAAGGATGCAAAACTATACAGGACTCCAGCAGTCACAACTTAGATCAGCTTAAACTACCGTAAAACTGCACCTAATCAGATAGATACTGGCTTTTAATTTTTCTTTACTGCCAAAAAAAAAAATGTTGTAAAGAATTGTTGCATACAAACTGGAAAAATGCTTTCTCTCTGCTTTTGATAACTATATTCAGTACACCTCCCACATAATCAGGCTTCTATCCCACAGACAACTCTCTGAACGTTTCATGTCCACAAGTATCTATCTGTATTTTTATCATATAGCCTGATTCACAGCTTCCCTTTTATTACTTATAACAGACAAATAGCAATGGACTTTTAGTTTCACAGATATTAAGAGTGTAAAACGATCTTTATGATCTTTATTTCCAAAATCTGAAAAGACCCAAAACCAAATTATCCAACAAAAAGTCTAGGAGCTCCTTCCTGCAAAAGACATCAAATGCACAAAATCTAAATTTGAATTCATAAAGGATGTATGAGTGAAGAATAACAGAAGAAACAAAGTTGACTTCTAGTGTTTACTAAAAGTCATTTATGAATCACCTTCAAGGAAAAATTCTTGGTTTATACCTTACTCCTAAAAGCGACAGTTAACAGTTTCCCCAGGCCTCTGAGAATGAGCCCTCCTGACTCAAGTGTGTAAGAAAACACCTAGGGCAAACACCTCTTTCAAGTACTTGCACCACCTAATGCATCCAATTGCTAAAAGCAGCCTCCTGTTTCCACAAAAGAATCCTCTGCAGTGGAAAGGAACTGTATTTAAACAGTTCCACCTGTGAGGTGGCCAGTAGAAGATGCTTTAAAACTGCCACTCATTATGAAATTAGAACTTCTACAAACAAGACCTATAGGCTGTTGAACACAAAAAGGCAGGAATTTTAATGGCTACCTCAGTCAAATTGGTTCAACATTCAAAAGGAGTTTCATGCCCATTAAGACAGAAGTTACTGTTTGAAGGTTTTGTCTTGGCTGTCGCACAGGTTAGCATAGCCTGGACTGTAACAGACCCAATGAATATAATTTCAAATACATTAACATGCAACTTAATGAGCATCGTTAGTTGTCCAGTTAGGTTAATTCACAGATTTGTCTATCCCAAGTGTTTCTCTTATATGTGCACAGAACAAGTTTTAAAATACGTTCTTCAGTAACACATCCCTTCACTACACTACAGTTACAACTTATCAATCCTTGTACTTTCTTAAACCTGTTTTTAATGCCTTGCCTTCTTCTGTTCTACCACTAAGTCAATTCAGTTGTGCACACAATCCTGAAAAAAAATTTTGTCCTTTATGACTGGGTCACTATGAACAGATGTAACCCAGCATATTAATCTTAAACAATTTTAAAAGGAACTTTTTGTAACTACTGTCCCCCCCTCCAACCTAACCTGGGCTGGTTCACATCCCTGAACAAATCAAGAGTTTTAGATTAGCAATGATTACCATTCCTTCCTCATGAAATGCTACCACTTTGACACATTTTCTGCTTTAACTTCTTCTTGGTGTGTATATATATATATAGAGGGAGAGAGAGAGATTGTTTAGAATTGTGTAAAAGCTCAAAAAACCCACCGTGTTACTAATTCAAGTCTTCCTCTACCAATCCTTGTGTCAATTCTGTTTACAACCAGTTCCTACAGTAAATGTAAACAGTGACAGCAAACCAAATTTTACTACCTATCATATAAAGCAATATGCTCTTAGAGGAGTTTCTTTCAAATGGCTCCTCCTGAGATGTTAAACCCACACAACCCTGCAAGAATAAACTTCTTTCAGTATTGTGCTCGATGACATCTATTTTAAAAATATTTAAAGTTAACTACAATAACATTATGCAAGTTTCTGAATTCTAAACACAATAGTAATGTACTATATCAAAGAGACAAAGGGCATGAATGAGAGGATGGAGTAGGAAGGGACAAAACTACCAGTAAGAAACTGGAACAGATCGCTTTAGAGGTCTTTTCTATAGTCAGAGACAATGCAGCCACCTTTTTTTCCACAGCTCAGCCTTGGACCAGATTCATATTCATGTAAAGTAAAATTCATCACAGACTGAGGTATGTATCTTAGTTACAGGAAGCACAAAATTAATGTGATTAGAAGGCAACTACCATAGGGGTAAAGCAAATATTGCATCAAATCTTCAGATAAAATTGATGCTTGGTAAGCATGTATATTTATTAAGTGGACAAGAACAGTGGTTCTGCCACAGCTGAAAGCAGCAGAGAGCACAACAAAGGTCTTGTTAGAGAGTACAGGAGACAACCACCACATGACTGAAATGAAACTAGATGTGTACATTAAGGTCCAGAAAAATGTAAAGACATACATAGGTGCAAGTGTGCACTCTTTGGAACCTTGACACATGCAGACACTGGGAAGAGTCTGTCAGGGAATTTTCTGGCAAACAGTGGTGATGCAGCCTTTCAGTCTACAAATGTGGATTCCTATGACATAAACAGGGCTAAGTATCTGGTATTCTAAAAACTGACCTTGGAAATTCTGGTTTGTTAAACACCACGTAGACCTTGCCAGGAATCTGGCTGGGACCTAACAGATTTTAAGTCCTGACATCATTCAGCTGGTTCTGCAGAAATTAATTTGGGTGCGGCATAGTCAACACAGTGCAAGAATTTAAAATATACTGTGGTAGTGGTTGCTACATCACATTTCTTTGCCCCTCTGCCCCAATCTGTTCTACAATAATAATGCAAGGAGGAGACAACCTATGTAACATAGCTTGGGCTCCTGATCTACACAGTATAGCAGCCTAACAATGCCTGCAGCTAAGCTCAGCCTAAAGGCAGTGAAGACATCTCACTTGCACTGCATCTGGTGCCTCCTAAACCCCAGCTGGGTCTTTAACCTTTACAATACCTTTACCCTTCCACCCTCCCTACATCCAACATTCCACTGTCTGCTCTTTCTTCCCACATATCACAACTTCAGACTTGCTGGAGACAACTGCCTCAATCACAATGCTTTGTTGTTTCTCCTTCCATAGAGACACAGGGAACTGAGGTCCACAATGCTCTGCAAGACCACTGTTAGACTGGCTTCAACGCTTACTTAAGGTACACCTGCCTTACTACACAACTGCACCAGTGGTAGCCTAGGGTGCAGAAAACTTCATGGTAGTATTGCTAAAGACACTGGTAGGAAATTATGGCCTATCTTAACACTGGAAGTAAGAAACAGAAGTCTGTCAGCTTAATAAAAAAAAATAAATGTTGAGGACAACCTAGTGAAACTGAAGAAAATTGACCAAAGGGAGGTAACTGACCATAACAAAATAAGAGACTTCTAGGAAACCAGAATCCAGAGGCCTTCATAAAGAGGATGCAGTAGGAAAAAAATATTTTAATCCAACCTGTAAAAGAATTGGGGTTTTCGAACTTTTTTTTTTTTTTAAGTGCACTTAACATGAAAACAGTAGTCACAATGGGTAAAAAGGATGAACTTTAATATGGATAAAAAATGCCAAAATCCAAGCCTCATGTTAAGCCACATGCTTTACATAGGCTGCAAACAATGAGTTACAATTTTTGAATGCTAAAACCCTTGGTGATATGGCATCACAATATTAAAACTCTTACTTTACAGAATACCTTTTATTTCAGTATGCAAACAATAATTCAAGCTTTTGCATAATGAATTCTCCCTTGCAAAATAAAATAAAACCTTAAGTGTGCATTGTTTTTCTTCAAGTTAAAACAGCAATGTATTACAAGCTACAGAAATACACTACTTTAATAAGCCGTTTATTTATGCAATTAAACATCAATGTAATTTAAAAATAAAATATATCAGAGTGGGTAAGGTTAAATGTGAAACATATTACACATTAGGATTACCAAAAATTTATTGTAGCACATCTTTACTTCTTTGTGATGAATGAAACCACTCTGGAGAAGCTCTTGCTTAAACCTACTACATTTATTACATTTATTAACTTGACCAGTTTTGAGCATAAAAGGCTGGTAATTCACAGGATACTTTCCTAATGAAATGGAAACTGGGTATTTTACATTCTGAGCGCTTGCCTTTACAAGCCCCCCAGAACTGGTGATTTTAAAAAAAGCTTACACACCACCCTTTCCAGACATACAGAAACACAACCTGTTTTGTAAAGAGACTGACATTCCACAAAAAAAAAAGCTTCTTAAGAGACCACTAAAACACCAGCTTAATTTTCACTATTTTTGTAGGCTACATTGGCCACTAAGGTATGTTAGTGTTAGCCATCACTCCTCCCTCACTCAGGAACTTTCACCCTCACCTCTCCAACAAATACTGATTTTAAACATAGCTCTGACTATTAAAAAGGCCTGTTTATAGGAATTTTGCCAGTAAGTAGGAGAGTTCGTGGTAATACCAGATTTAAGAAGATGACATGCAACACTCTGATTTCACCTGTCTAGAAAATAAGTTATGATTAAATACATATTTTAGTATATTAAAAAAGCCAAGCCAAACCCAACTGAAACAGTAATTATTTCCCACTCAAGTGCAAGAATGCTATACCACAAAGAAGATTCTTTATTAAATAACCACATTTTTATTGTTTCTAATTTAAAGGTGATATAATAATGCCTGATTCTGGAGGAAAACGCTATTGTTAAAGAGGCACACAGTCTCTTTAAGTGCCTATGTTCAGCAAACCCTCACTTTACAGAACACTGCAAATGTACCAATGTCAACGGCTTATCCGGATGCCAGTTTTCTTCCACAGCGCGTGCACTCACTGACCAGAAATAAATGAGATGGGGAAAGTGATGCTCACTGAAGTGTCTACTGTCCACCTCGACCTGAACTATAGTTTGCTTACCAAAAACCAGAAAGGTGAGGACGGCCGTTTTCGGAGCATGACCGGTTTTACCAACAGCAGGCGCCGGGAGCGGCCCCGCGCACCCCCTCCCCCAGCGCAACGCTCCGCTGACGGAACAAACGCGGTTCCTCAACACGCGCGTGTGCGGGGGGAGGGGCCCCCG